TGTGTGTGTGTGTGTGTGTGTGTGTGCGCCTGCGTGTGTGTGTGTGTGTGTGATTAGTCCAGGAATAGCAGCACAGGGATGCCTGCTTCCTCTGCAGTGAGGAAGAATCTGCCCGTGACCCCGTGACCCTGAAAACAAACACTGAGCCTTCTGGGACACGGTTGCGTTTGACTTTAAACCCTTTCGGTCGTCAATGTTTACGTTCTTTCTGCATGAGGTCAGATATGTCCAAATCTTTCTGACCTCGAAACCTCTTGATGACGCTCAGAGAATATGTTCACTGTTATAAACTCTTAATGTTGTTTCTGTTCGGCACCAGAATGATGTGTTTGACCCTGTTTGCACAGAAGGAAACAGCTGAGTGGTGTTACAGTCAGTTTGTTGAGCTCTGTTTGCATTCCACCAACAATAATCCCAGCAGATTACAACCGTCGTTGTTTTGTTGTTGTTTGACTCATAACTGGAAGAGATGATGACGTAATGCTCTTTTCTGCATTTTACATACGAGGGAGAGAAAAACACTGAAGAACCGTCACAACTAAAATCCACTGAAAGTTCTAAATGTGATCTTCAAATTATTATCCAATAAAGTTGGATCAGCGGTGTATTTATGGTGACATCATATATTTAAAGGTGAAAGCGACGATGACACTTTATCTCCTTTAGACATAGCGGACAAACATATGATGTTCAATGTCTTCTTATGCAGTCGGGGATTAATAATCCGCGTCAAGGCTCCAAACGTTCCCTTTAAGAGGTCACCTTGCTCCTAATAAGGAAGGTGGTGAGCCCTTCCTTCAGGAGGAGAGGAACAGGAGGCGCAGATCAAACGAGGACCAGAGTCAAGTCAGCCACAGAGAGAAATAACACTTCCTCTACGGGACTTTCAAAGTAAAACGTTCAATAAATGTCAGAAAAATAAAGTGAACATAAAATCTGAGCGGTAGAAAGGGATAAATGAACGTGTTCTGCCTGGTTTGTTTCCATTCATGATATGTTTAAATAGCGGTGATGCTAACTTATCTAAAGTCAGTTTCAGTCGTTACATTTTCAAAATAATGCTTACGGTTTTATATTATATTTACAGTTTGTTTTAATGTAGCATATCGTTTGAATGGAATCAGCTGTTTTGCCTTTAGACTGATTGTTCTTCTAAAGTGTTATTGCTAGTGGTAATCTGCTGTCGGCCTAATTACCAAGTAGTCAATAGTCTTCACTTGTCAAACACATTTATTTTGTTTGCTGGTGCGACAGAGATCCGTTTTTAGGACATTTTCGTGCAAATTCTACTCATTTTATTTTATTTTGAAAGAAAAGCCGCACTATTTCCGGTACGATTCGGCCCCTCGCTGTCTAACTTGACGCTTGGAATTTGTGGAGGGAGGGAGGCCCCGTTTCTGTGTGGAAAAAAAGCTTCTCACTGCTCGAGACGCAACCAGAGAGGAGAAGCGCGAGAGGCGAGAACGACCTGATCCGGCGGAGAAGCACCGGAGGACGGAGACACGTGGGGGGTGGGAGACACGGGGCATGCAGGGAGGAGCTATCGAAGAGAGGGACGTTTAGATAAAACGGCAATTGCAGTCAAAGCGAAGTGAGAGAGGACTCGGACTTTTGCAGCGGAGCGTCCAGAGAATTACGCACGAGCGCGCCATTCCAAAGGTGAACCAACTTTTTACGCACGGACCGCTGGAGATGCTGCGTTATTGATACATTCAACTGCGATTCTGGACTCGTGATCTGATCACCTCTGGAGTTTGGACCATAACGCGTACACATGGAGCACTTTGGCACATGTGGATGAATTATTATTATTATAAATCAAACATTTGGAGACATCTGGACTCGTCGCACGGGCTTCTCGGGACTCTCTCTCACTGCAGACCGGTGTGATCGGAGCTGCGTGGTGGAGCCTTCGTCGATCGGGACACTCTGCATTACGCACCGTTGACGTTTCCTGAGAGTTTTCAGGACAGCGGTGTGGACAGAGTCAGACACGTCTAGCCCGCGTGAGTCACCGTGAACAAACACACGGGACAAGCGGCGCTTACAGGCGGTGACACACTCAAGGGGGGATATTTAACGGTGCGTACCTCGCGCCACCGGGACGAGGTTCGGGGTGATTTGGACGCCGAGGTGCTCAATGCCCAGCCGGTCGCTTGCGGCTCCTCAGGCTGGGCGGCAACAACATGAGGTCCTGGGTCCTGCTGCTGCTGCTTGCTGCGCTCTCAGCGGCCCGTCTGCGGCTCAGCAGCGCTGAGGTAAGGGGGGGGGGCACGTATGACCTCTAGTCGGTGAGGGGGGAACCGACAGACACGGATTATCCAGTCACGGTTGAACTAAATGAACAGATGTAGTGGTGGATTAAATGTGGTGATTATTATAAGCGCAGAAATATCATTTGACTTTTCACTTATCATATTTGAAGGTACCTTCAGTCAGTGGTCTGTCAGCGCTGTAACAATGAGATGAGTAGAGTCTCTACATGTGTGTGTGAGAGACTCACTGAGGAAGAACAACAGCACAGATGGTTGTTTTGGACCATGAAGTCCTCACCTTGATGGAGATGCTTGATGTCCAAAGAATACAAACAGGAAGCTGATGTTTGGTGACTTCGTGTTCTGTCTCCTGAGAACCTCCGTCACTCTTCACATGCATTTGATTCTACAAGCTGATGTTTTTGTGGAACAGTTTAACTGCAGGGCAAAAATCACAACGCACTGTGTGTGTGTGTGTGTGTGTGTGTGTGTGTGCGTTTGTGCATGTGACAGCATGTCCATCGGTCTATCCAGTTCTACCTCTGTGACTGCAGCTTGTGCCGAATGAGAGATGTGTTGTTTTGAGATGCTGTCATGGACAGACGATGTCGAGGCAGCTACACCTGCAGTGACTGAACGTCCTGTCGTGTGATCGGCTCTATCAGAGCTGATACCGTATTCAGCCCGGTGACTCACACCTGTTTCTTGAGCTGGCAGCGAAAATAAACCCATCAAATAAACATTCGAAAAGACAGAAGTCTGCTCAAAACTCCAAGGTTCTTTCATGCTGTGTGTTTTGCTCTGTTCATGCTGCTGTGAGTAACTCCTCCTGACATGAAGCTACACAGTGTTGTCTTTGTTAAACAATCAGATCATTGATATCTGATCAATAACTATCAGCTCTCACCTAGTGCATGTGAGCAGGCCTTATTTTGTGCATGTTAGTGCATGTGAGCGTGCCTTTTTTAGTGTATGTTAGTGCGTGTGCGCGTGCCTCTTTGTGCACATGAACGTGCCTTTTAGTGCATGTGGATAACGTAGTCCAGACTGATGGCGTCGTGGAAACGCAGCGCTTGTTACTTGTGTTTCCTACCACCTTCAGATAATTACAGTTCACAGTGCACATAATGCAGAAGGGAGACATTATTGCCTTGTTTAGAGCACTGTGGATGAAAACAAGTATCCTCACACATCGGTTTATACGATATCTTGTTTTCCTACAAAAGTCCAGCAACACATATCAATTTCTGCTCGTTACATGAACACAGTCTTTTCAAAATAAAATTCCATCTTAACAGGAAACTACTTAGTTAGGTTTAGACAACTAAACTACTTAGTTAGGTTTAAACAACTAAACTACTTAGTTAGGTTTAGACAACTAAACTACTTAGTTAGGTTTAGACAACAACACTACTTAGTTAGGTTTAGACAACTAAACTACTTAGTTAGGTTTAGACAACAAAACTACTTAGTCAGGTTTAGACAACAAAGCTACTTAGTTAGGTTGAGGCAACTAAAGTACTTAGGTTTAAACAACTAAACTACTTAGTTAGGTTTAGACAACAAAACTACTTAGTCAGGTTTAGACAATTAAATTACTTAGTTAGGTTTAGACAATTAAACTACTTCATTAGGTTTAAGCAACTAAACTACTTAGTTAGGTTTAGACAACTAAACTACTTAGTCAGGTTTAGACAACTAAACTACTTAGTTAGGTTTATACAACTAAACTACTTAGTTAGGTTTGGACAACAAAGCTACTTAGTTAGGTTTAGACAGCAAAGATACTTAGTTAGGTTTAGACAACTAAACTACTTAGTTAGGTTTAGACAACAACACTACTTAGTTAGGTTTATACAACTAAACTACTTAGTTAGGTTTGGACAACTAAACTACTTAGTTAGGTTTAGACAATTAAACTACTTAGTTAGGTTTAGACAATTAAACTACTTCATTAGGTTTAAGCAACTAAACTACTTAGTTAGGTTTAGACAACTAAACTACTTAGTTAGGTTTAGACAACTAAACTACTTAGTTAGGTTTAGACAACAAAACTACTTAGTCAGGTTTAGACAACAAAGCTACTTAGTTAGGTTTAGACAACTAAACTACTTAGTTAGGTTTAGACAATTAAACTACTTCATTAGGTTTAAGCAACTAAACTACTGAGTTTCATCCAGCATTTGTAGCTAAACCTAAAAAAGGCAATGCATCGCAATTCGTACTCATCCCAGGAAATAATTTCGTAATCTTGAATGAAGAAGTTTAAAGACCACAAAAGACCACACAGGATGGGAGGAGAGTTGGATGAGTCCAATAAAGAGATCTTTCCTCCAGCAGAAGTCACAATGAAATGTTATTAGAGTCGTCATATACATGAAATGTAACTTTTGCGTTTATCTCATCCCGAGCTTATTGGGGTTATGTGTCTTGCTTAGGGACACTTCGGCACAGCACTCGTAGCAGCCAAGGATCGAACTGCCGACCCATTGAGCCACGGCCGCCCACGTCGTGTAACTTGCGTACTTCAAGTACTTCTGTAGTTATTTTAACCAAACGACAAACCTAAACCTAACTAACCTGTTTCCTGTGAAGACAGAAGTTCATTTTGAAGAGACTGTATTCATGTAACGAGCAGAAATGTACACGTGTTGCTGGAAAACACATGAAAAATGAGCGGTTACTTTCCGTAAGCTATCACAGGAACCGTTGAACAAGGATACGTCGATAGCATCACAACTCTGCAAGATGAAGTCATGGAATCATACAGATGTGTATTTGTGATCAGAATGAAGGCGGAGTTTGAGGACCCGAGGAATCTGCACCAGAATTACCTACAAACCTGGAAGAGAGCCAGGTGTTCTATCCACCCGTCCACCACGATGTGCTCCCTAGTGGCATTTGTTGTTGTTGTTCATGCTTCCTTGTTTGCGATGATGAATGAATACAAAGTGGTTCTTTGGGACACAGAGGAAGAACTGTGCATTACTCTTCATTGGTTGAGCTACCAACGCCGGCTGCTGTTGGATTCAAACCTGCGATCCTGTAATCTGCAGGTTGTTCATCACAGACACTATTAACGTGCTCGTCTTCGTGTGCACGATGAGTTAAACATGCAGCTTGCTGCAGCACCGACGCCTTTCAGACCTCCGACGTATTTCTTCTTTATATTCAAAAGAACACTGACCCGTCATGTGACCCGACTCTCTTAATCCTCTTTGTGTCACAACGTTCAGAAAAAAAACGGAGACAACTTTGACGTCTTAGATCCACTACATCTGTCTGTGGACACACACACACACACACACACACACACACACACACACACACATGGTTGGTTTTTAAATCCATTTAAACAACTGGAGTCGGACACAAACATAAAGTCTCTCACACCAGGTCAGACCTTCTGCTGTTCAACGGTTACGTCAACACACGCTCGCAGCTGATTGGTTGGCTTTGTGAGCGGCTCGTAGTCCGTTTATTGTCTCAGTGGGTCAGTTCGGATGATGCTTGATCCATTTTACATAAGAACAACAACTAATCTGCAGAGGATTTTACAGGCCGTGTGTGTGTGTGTGTGCACATCTGTGTGTAGCTGCGTATGTGTTAGTGGACATATGTGCTTGTGTTTCTGTGTGTGTGTGTGCAGCACGGGTGTGTGTGTGTGTGCGTGTGTGTGTGTGTGTGGGGGGGGGGGGTCAGAGAGAAAAGCGCAGCGGTGCATCAGAGTGTTTGTTCTTAAGCCTCGTGTGGAGCAGAATTAGAGTCCAGCATGGTGGAAATAATATTAATATTAATAATAATAAATGATACAAGTCATATGGCTTTCTGGATCACAGTTGCTTATTTAAAAACAAAATCACTCAGTGAAAGGTTACAGGTATAAAAACCAGCTAACTAGCAGGCCGAGCTAGCGGCCGTGTGAGTGTTGGTGTCAGGATCCCTGTCTGACCCATTGTGTGTTAACCTCCGTTTCCCCCCAATCTCCTCTCCTCATGTGTCTGTCATTCCCCTGTTTGTTTTGCTGTGCCATGTGCTTGGTGTTGTTTTCTCGGGCCTGCCTCCAGACACCTCCCATTGCCACCGCCCTGATGGATGCACAGCTGCGGACAATCTGGCTCGTTACCCAGCAGCATATCAACCCTGGTCTTGCAGGCCTGGGTTGTCAGTCCGTATTGTCTTCTGCCTCGAGTGCTGGTCGATCTGCGTACTCGCCGGTGTCGAGCCACGGGACTCACACCGTCGACCTGTCTACCCTCCG